TTGGTAAACAAATGAGTCAAGGATTAAAATATTTTACAGCTTATAAATCATGAAAGATGTTCAATAACAGTACATTAATAATAATAAAAAAAACCTTTAAATGTAAACACAAAAACATTAAATGGTGCTATTGGATCAGTCAATGGTTTACGACAAATGAATTCTTTCCCAAAAAGAGGTGCCCACCCTGGATGGTCTCAGAAATTACAACCTGACTTAATCTGAAGTTGACAACTGGTCTACCTGTGAGCCTGGCCTACTGTCTTCTCCACCCAACCCCAGGGCTGTTCTCTGCCATTTCTCGTTAACACCTCCTTCATCGCTAGGAAAGAAAAGAAAAGGAAATTTCTAAGCCAATTTTGTTACTCTCCAGCTACACTTTAGAGACTTTTTGCTGAAAGAGGGTGAAACTACATCACTCAGGGTGAGGATTCTGAACCAGCTGTGATCTTGATGATCCGAGTTCTCTTTCTATGACAGGCTAATGTTGGACATTGAGGCTTGGCATGATGATGAAAACAAACACAAATTTGAAAAACCCAAACCCACCAACTTTGGCCAGTGCTCAGATGTCTTTCCATTTTACACTGGTAAGGTTCTAGCCATGATTCCACTGAGGAATAAAAGCCAATGAAATACTCTCCCGGTGGCCGTTTCTCACCCACCCTTATTTGGAATTATGTTATTTAACCTAATGTGGAATGGCCTTTCCCTAATCATTGGGTGTTTCTAATATTTGTACAAGATCTGAGAAGACTTTTAAATTTCATCCTCGATTTCCCTAGAAATGAGCACTCAACCCAGTACTGATTGTGAAAAGAATGTAAACTTTTTATGAACTATTTGCTAAAATGATAGTAACTAGCAAAGCTACAAGTGCCTGTTAAGTAAAACCTCTCACCAAAAGTCACAAGTTGGCTTTATTTGTTATATTAAGGCTCATTACCCAATTTCGCACATATATTCAACACTCTATTCTACCACATTCCATGTGTGGCTACACTCTCTACTTCCTCTTCCACACTAACATCTGTGACCTCAGGGGAAGACCGCTGAGAAGCTGAGAAAGATGCCCTCCTCAACCAACCATGGCTCAGCCAAGTCAGAACGAAAGGAGGACATTCTGGCAGTTTTATATTAAGGCCCACGCATGTGTTGTCCTTCTCAATCGTAATACCAAATCTTACCATAGCGAACAAAACGTATCAAGTCAATGAATCAACAGTATTTGTGTATCTACTCTGCATAAGGCACTGTGCATATCTGATGAACATTCTACCTTTATGAAGTTTCATCAGGAAGATTAAGTTTCTCTAAAATACAAAATATTCATGCCCTTGCTGGTGTGGCTCAGTTGGTTGAAGCATTGTTCCGCACCAAAAGGTGACAGTTCAATTCCCGGGTAGGACACATACCCAGGTTGTGGGTTCAATGCCAGGTCAGGACAGGTGCGGGAGGCAACAGATTCATGTTTCTTTCTCACATTGATTTTTCTTTCTCTCCCCTCCTGTCTCTACAAAAATACAAAAAGTAAATATAATATGCATTAAAAAACTGAAAAAGCAGGTTCAAAAATAAACTCAAGAATGGCAAGAATTGCCGAAGCCGGTTTGGCTCAGTGGATAGAGCGTCGGCCTGTGGACTGAAAGGTCCCAGGTTCGATTCCGGTCAAGGGCATGTACCTGGGTTGCAGGCACATCCCCAGTAGGAGATGTGCAGGAGGCAGCTGATCGATGTTTCTCTCTCATCGATGTTTCTAACTCTCTATCTCTCTCCCTTCCTCTCTGTAAAAAATCAATAAAATATATTTTTAAAAAAAAAAGAATGGCAAGAAAAGTTACATTAAGTCAAGAAAGGATTCTGTAAACTACATTAAGATAAAAAAAGTGTGTGTGTCTCTATTTCAACTCTCAATTACGCATCTTAAAGAGATGGAGAGCTTGTGAATAGAGTTCTCTGAGTCCTACCATCTGTCCCCCCTCCCATTTCTGACTCATTAGGTGTGGAATAGGGTCTGAGAATTTGCATTCAAACAAGTTTCCAGGTAACACTGAGGTTGCTGCTCTGGGGCAATACTTTGAAAACAAGTGATCTAAACCATCTACCTTTCTTGATCAAAAAAGTATGGTATGATTTTAAATGGCTGATGTATAAAATCAAACTATGGAAACAATAACCACTATATTTTAATTGAAATGTGTACTTGATAACCTAAAAACCACATGAAAACATATTACCTTTATGTGACTGGGAATTATCATATACCACATGTCATTTGACCTGAACACAGCACAGCATTAATATTATGCGCTAAACTGATCTTTGGGACACTAATGATTTTTGTACAATTTTTATCAGAAGGCAAGATCATTGTAAATACTGAATAATCGTAATTACTACAAATAAGGGATGGAGCAGATCCTAGGAAAACAGTCAAATGTGCTAAACAGACTGTATTTCCCTGCACTGTTCTCCCTCCCAAATGCAACTGCAGTCACACTCAGGGACAGGCATACTAGAGAAAGTCTTTTTTTCCATCAATTGTAATAAGAACATTTAACCTAACCTCTTAACAAAATTTAAAAAAAATATTTTTATTGATTTCAGAGAAAAAGGGAGAGGAAGAGATAGAAACATCAATGATGAGAGAGAATTATTGATCAGCTGCCTCCTGCACACCCCTCACCTGGGGACCAAGCCCGCAACCCAGGCATGTGCCCTGACCAGGAATCGAACTGTGATCTCCTGGTTCACAGGTCTACACTCAAGCACTGAGCAATACCGGCCGGACTTAACAAATGTTTAAGTGTACAAACAGTATTGCTAACTACAGGCTCAGCTGTCCAGCGGATCTCTAGGACTGACTCGTCGTGCATAACTGAGACTCTGTACCCACTGAATAGCTATTCCTCCTCCCCTCCCACAAGAAAGTCTGGAGCTGGGATTCTGCCTTACCTATCACACACATCCCATATGCCCCTGGGCCCACCCAGATTTTGAATAAACACAACACCGTTCGTGGGAGAAGTAAACAACCACCATACCCTGACTTGTTCTTCCCACGATGAGGAGGAGGAGGAGGAGGAGGAGGAGGAGAAGGAAGAGGAGGAAGCGAACGAGGAGGAGGAGGAGGAGAGGATGACTGGTCATCAGAAACAGTGACTCACTAAAGAAGAGATTGCAAACTGGTGGCCTCCGATTTTTGGTTAAAAAAATAATTAGTTTGCAACATTTGGAAATCGTATTTCACAGAAATAGCTGTGTTTTCAGTTTCTCTAGAAAGATCACGTTTAGCAACGCTGGCCGTGCATTCACTGCCATATGGCCTCGAGGAGCCGGAGCTGCACAGCTGTTGCCCACTTTCATGGGGGAGAACAGGCTCCCCAGATTGCACTGTCCCCAGTAATCCCTCCTCGTCCACACCTGGCCTGCCTCATTAGCCACCGTCCCTGCCTGGCTCCGGAAACATTTGAGTTTGCAATCCCTGCTCTAAGGTGTAGCACAGATAAGATAATTTGCTGGGAACTGCCAATAACCTGTGGTCTATCTCACACACTTTACGCCTCTCACCAGAGCGGAGTAGAATATAACGTTATAACAGCGTCAGTCTTCCTCTGTTCTTATTAAATAAATAAATCATTTGCAAACTTTGGTACTGGAATGAAAACAAACTGGACCATATCTGCCATTTGTCCACCACACACCATAATTGAAAAGCTCTGCTAGAGAAATCTGTTTTCGTGCTGCCCAGCATAAATTCTGACTTTTGAATATGCCTAACAAATGATGAAACCACTGAAAATTTCATTATCGAATTGTAGGCTGTGAGGAGTATAAGACAGTATAAAAACTTCTTTTTTTAAAAAAATATATTTTATTGATCCTTTACAGAGAGGAAGGGAGAGGGATAGTTAGAAACATCGATCAGCTGCCTCCTGCATACCCCCGATTGGGGATGTGCCCGCAACCAAGGTACATGCCCTTGGCCAGAATCGAACCCGGGACCCTTCAGTCCACAGGCCGACGCTCTATCCACTGAGCCAAACCAGTCAGGGCAGAATCAAGTACTTCTAATCCATGTCATTATAGGTATATAACTGTCCGTCATAAGAACGTGAAAGTACAACATTTGTGCCACCATGTAACGTTATTTGGGGAGAAAATGTAGAATGGGGGGCTTCAGGCACAGGCCCATTACTTTGAAAAGGGCACAGAAACATTTCTGAGACAGGCAGTGCATTCAAACAAAACCTACGTGAAAAATGGTCATTCTAATAGAATAATAACTCTCTACTTCCAAATTGTTCCAAATAGCTTTGTCTTCGTAGACTAAGGAAAAATAAACGTGTGTACCAGGGACAGGTAGGAAGGAACAATCTAGAGAGATACTGGGAAAGTGAAGGGGTGAGTTACACGGGACCTCCACGTTTGAGAGCGACCAGAGACTAGGAAGGTGTTCCAGTCTGCAGAGAAATCCCTTGTCCCAAACGCGTATGATTTATGTCCAAGGCTATTACATATGGATCACAACTCATAATGTAGAACACAACTAATACACTGACACACACACACACACACACACACACACACACACACACACACCCGAGCCCCGAGCCTGGGTCCTTAGGTTCCTGTTTCCCTTGGATAGACAGGTGTATATATAGATGCTGTATCGAGAAAACACTGGGTATAGGCCTTTGCCTATATATACATTCTCAAATGTTATTTCTACCAAACTTGAGCTCTATCCCTATGAGGGGACATTGTATATACAGAGGGCATTCACACTTTTGTTGACTGTCCACTCTAAGGTACTCGGTCACTCGCCTCTGAATGAATTTTCAGAACTATTTTCATAGTGAATGAGTGTGTGGGTCTTACAGAATACTTGCTGCAATGCGTCAAACAGGAGGCATCCTGTTTTTAAAGGACAAGGAGGACTCGTGTATAAATGCACACACCACGCTGTTTTATCTGCAATAAGAAATTAGACAACGGAATTAAGATTAAACACTTTAATCAACTATAATAAATCAATATATATTATATAAAAAAGTCTGATTCATGCATCAGATTACATAAATTATACAACTGTCACATTATGCAAGGCTTACATACTTTTGAGTTTGTATCGGTAAAAATGTATACAAGTTACTAAGAGCATTTTACTTAACAAGTGTAATACTCTTCAGTTATAAATAATGCTTGTGTCTTTCAAGTACCTGCTAAATATACACATTTCTAGATCTGCAGCATTCTTCTGTACCTCAAAATACAAACCATCTGGAAGCTTCAAAGATTTATAGGCCCAACGTATCATTTGTTACAGACTTCAATTCCATGGTAAGAGGGGATTTTTTTGACATAGAAAAGAAATGAAATAAAATGCCAACTCGAGTTTAATGCTTGAAGAGCTTCTCCACTACTTATTAAATACATCGCGAAAGCCTCCAGATGCAGATGAATTAGTTAAGGTGCCATCTACTGCATATTAAATACTTCCAATCGCTGCATCTGGATTAGGAGAGTTATAAATCTGTGAAAATGGGGGCTTTCGAATGTGCGCTGACAGACCCTTGCATCTACCATCACAAACCAGCAGCACTGTGATCCTTTACCTCTTACTTCAAAGAGATCAAGTGAGCGAGCATGCTTCATACTTCACTTACACACGCACAGTGACACCTAGCATATCTACAAGACATATGAGCACACGGACATCAAAAAGTCCCAGCCTCACTTACAGACCCGAGGCCGGGAGCTTTGCCTGAAAAGCCGGAGGAAGAGAAAAGCTCCAGTGTAACAAGTACGAGATCTATTAAAGCCAGTTCTTTTGTGTTTTTTTAGATTCTCCTTGCTAAAGAGCAAGCACCCTCACAGGGGTGGTGGGCGGGGGGAGAGAGGGAGGACAGAGGAGTTGGTGAAGGCAGGAAAGCAAAGCTGTCACTAATGAGCTGGGTTTTACTTAGGTTTCCAGTCCTGAAGCCCTTTTCAATACAAGGCAACATTTTCACAGCTGGAAAATTACAACTAAAGCTTCATTTACTGCCAAAAGCAATAGATGTAGTTATGTATAATCTATGGATAGCACTACGTTCACGGGAGAATGGCAAAACTAGGCTCAAGGCAGAATAGAACAGCCAAAAGCAATACTTAAACATCTCTCATGAATGGGGGACACGTCACTTATATACAATTCTAAGATATGACCCTGCTACTCAATGAATGAAACTGAGGCATAAGTGGAAGGACAATATGTTCAGTATTTTCAGAACTGAATTTTAAAACTGGGAGGGAAACTGGTTATAAAATAAGGCTACTTTAAAAATAATAGAAATATTTTAATTACATAACAGAAATATATTAACTTAAGATAGGTTTGAGATAATTATCAATTCTGTGGTTTTTAAAAAAATCCTCTTATCGGTGGAAATATTTTTGATCATGCATTTTAAGCATAAATAAAATCCATTTATAAGTCTATAGTGCTGTGCTCTATTATTTAATGAGTACATATATTTTATTTCTATTTCGAAGCTATTAACAAAATACACCATTAGAATACTACTGGTAAAGGTTACATTTTGGAAAAACAAACTAAGGTGACTTTTGGCCTTCCTTCTACAATGCTAGCAAATAAAACTAATCCGAATGCACTTCTGTCCAAATGCAGGAAACACTGATATGTTTACTGGAGAACTCATTTTCACTTTTTGTTTGTAGTTTATTATATTGACAGATTATGAAAACAAATAACTTGTTCTCTGGGTCATGAGGAAAACTTCATAAACATTCAAACAGAACATTTTTAGGCAGTGATAAATGCAGGATGAGTTTTCAATAGAATTCTTATCTCAGATTTAAAGATAAAAATATTGAGTCAGTTATAACCAAATCTCTCACATGTGGATAAATCTAATTCTTAACAGTTTTTATACAAGCAAAGAATGTCTCCTTAAAAATGAATCTCCTCATAAAAAGAATAGTAGTTACTTGAATGATACTTTTTACCGATCTCTATTCACATAAAACATATCCCCAATACAAAACTAATATCTTGGTTCATTCTATCAGGAGTAAATTTGGCCAAAGCATATTAAAATATCTGTAACTAATCTGTCATAATACTAAAAACATATGAATTTTGATATTTTTAAAAAGTGTAAAAAGAGCTACAATTATACTAACAACACAAAATCAAGTGCTAAGAATTTTGTAAATATTTAATAAATGTTAATTAAAATGGCACCATGTTAAAAATAATTAAGATTTCAAATGGAAAAATAAAATTCTACACCAGATTTGGAGGTTTAGGAAAGATTTTTTATATATATATGAAAGAAAAAGTTGGTAGAGCTATTTTCCCTCCTCCATTTCTTCATTTCAAAAATTACTGAATTTTTGTATTTGGGGAAAATTTTCACAATTTCAAAATGTATGCTCTCATAGGAAAACTAAAGAAACTCAGAAAATACAAATAACAGGGATTTTGGCTTATGAACTAAATATAAACTTGGCCAAGTATTATCTGATTCAGAATATTAAAATAAGCAAAATGATTATATCTGCTTTGTATTTAATTTTCAAGTAAGTCTTAGTACAGATGCCTATTAAGACAAAAATGCACTTCATTAAAAGGCTGAGAAATATATGTCTCCATATACAGTGTGTTTTTTCATTTTAAATTCAGAAGAAACAGTGTTTCATAGTAAGTATTTTAGATTGTAAGGTAAAAAATAAGCTGTAATTATTATTTTTATAACCATTGCTTTTCACTTTACATTTCAGACTAATTTTGTACAACTACAGGAAGATGATTCATGGAAGTATTCAACATTTTGGAGAAGCAGACTAAAAAAAGTGGACATATAATTTGGTGATAAATCAATTCTTAAAGGGTAGATGCAGATTAATGTGTAACGTCATGCTAATAAAGATCTGTTCTAAAAACTCACTCTTTAGTAACTGTTATTTTGGTTCAAGACCCAAATGCAACCATCTGTTCTATTATTTATGGAACTTGAAACCAAGCCTAATTCTCTATTCCGAGAATCTGCCCACTGTTTTGGGTTATCAGGCATCGGATGATCACCTACTTTTACCCTCCAAGTTATCTTCAGCTTTAATTCTTACTATTTTCTTTGCTAGTGTTTTATAGGCATTTAGAATGGCAAGAAAACAAATTACATTAGCTTATCTCCCGCTTGTAGCTTAGACAAAACTCAAATGTTACGCTGAAAAATGAATTCGAGAAATCCGCGCTGTTTGAAGTTAATGGACTTTCCTAAAACACGTCATTCTTCAACAAGGCCTTTGGAGCATTACTTTTGGATAAAGAGCAAACATCTGACGCTGGAGTAACATAGTAGCAGCTCATTTTGAAACCAAGGTTCAGAATCAAGAGTGACTTGAAGCAGCTCCCCTACACACACGTAATACTGCAGTAGCAATGATGCTTCGTTGAGCGCACATACATTTTCCAATTGAGAAACTGGTATCATTTTAGAGGAAACCAACTGATTTTAAATGTCCTAAAAACACATGTATATGTGAGGTATATGCACGTATTTATATGCAAAGATACATGAACTTATATTCACGTACATACGGATGTATATAAAATACGAACTGTTTTGGAAGTAGTGTTTATAATGAGCAGTATTCCTGCAGCTGAACTGTCTACAAATGGAATGCTCAGGAACCAACCACAGTATCAATTCTCACAATGTCAAGTCATGAGAAATCTTCCTGAGGAATGAGCCACGACTTCTGAAGACATGCCTGGGCCTCGGGCAGGTGCGCGGGCTGGCCAGCACCCCAGGGGATCCCAAGGAGCTGCTGACTTATCTGGAATCTGGCCCTTTTCCCTTTCAAAGTTTTAATTATTGAGCTCACTTCAAAGGTCACTCTTGACAGTCCCCGCTCATATTTACAAGTAAAACACCTTTTCCCAAAAGACGAGCCTGGACTGAAACTTGCAAGTGCAGTCTCTTCCGGTAACAAGTCTTTCCTTCTCTCTTTCCTTTTCTTCCCCTCTTTCTTCCCCCAATTACCACGGCAGCACAAAGGCTCGTTAGCTGTTGGCGAACTTGCCAGCCTTCCTGGACGGCTCGTAGGGCACGCGGAGGATGCTGGGCGTCTCCTCCATGACCCGCACGAGGAGGTTGTCGATGTAGTCCTCCAGCTCCCGGATGTGGGTGTCCTTCCTGCGCAGCAGCTCTTTGTGCTTCACCAGCTCCTGCAGGACCTCCTCGTAGGTCAGGCTGCGGTACCCGGCAGTGGCGTCAAAAGGGTTGCTGTCCTAGAACGGGAGAGAGGCCGGCACTTTAGTTCTAGGAACAAAATCAGAATTATTCTGAACTTCAGCTTCTGGTTTTTCTCTGTCCTTGGCGAGAACCAACGTGACAGTTCACAGAACGGCTAGTCAGTTCTGAGGCAAGCGCTGGGTCAGGTCAGAGGCATCAAAGCCCTTATTCTAACTCTAAATTCTTCTACAATCGTTTTTTACAGTGTGGACAATGTCCTAGTAAAAGAGACAGACATACAACTTAAGATTCAGATAAAATGTTCTCTAATAAATTTAACTGAAATAGGTAAAAATTAAAGACCCCTAAGAATTAACTTGGAGGAAGTATAGGAAGCTGTTGAAAACTATACATTTGGACATTAGTTTAGTGCTCATCAAACTGCTTCCAGTGAACTGTATTTTAATGCTATGTCTTTGACTTTATTGAAGATGGGTACAAGCAGCAGCAAGATCAAATCTGCTTCTTGCTATGAAATGTTGAAGGCATTCGGAATTAAATCTTATAAGATGCTCCCATGGGAGTAACTTCTGATTTAATTTAGAGGCAAACAGCTTTTCCTCCCCCGAGTAACTAGTTCATTTCTATCTCATAGTAGCAATACCTCTATACCTTATCTTATTTCCCTTTTTGCCCTTGTTATCAGGAAACTCAGAGTTCAACTATGATCACGTTAATATTTAGTATTAGTATATCTGCATTCTCTTCCATTTCACTATTGATTTACTTTGTGAAAGTTACTCCATTAATGAAAATTCTTTTTACATTAATGTATAAATGTAAACAAAAAAGAAAGAAAAAAGGCATTGACCTAATTTCCATTACAAAGTAAAAGAAAAATATTTCTCAAAAATTTAATAAAAAATGTCATCATCCATTTATAGTGGATAGTAATTAGATTTTTCATTATGTAAAATATAAAGCCCACACATAAATTACCAGTATTTTTTATGTCTTTTTATACATAGTTCTATCACTAAGCTCAACAAATTAAAATGTTTTTTATCACTCTCATTCAAAACATTTCCATTTGGCTTTAAGGAAAATAAAATACTGGGGAAATGGGTCTTGCTCTTGCAGACTACAGTATCTAATCTATTCAGTGGGAGACAGAGAATGGGGACCAATGAATGCAGAAAGGTTCTTCTTCTGTTTTTCATAGACATTAAATTTGCCTTTACTCATTTTCAGGATCTACTTTAATTTGCTATGTGTCTAGAAGTTTCCATGAGTAAAGCCAAAGTGTAACTTTTTATCCCCTCTTCCCACAGGCACCAGGATTGCCAATTTGATGGGTAAGTTATCCAACCACACTTTCTTCTCCGGGATAACAACAGACATCCAGGAAGGGGAAACTCTCCCAGCCCCACAGGATCTCTCCGGTTCTGTGGAGAAGATCTAGCTGGCACCAGGCGGAAATGCAAAAGGTGCAGCTCAAGCAGTGGCTCAGTTTGTTCAAAGGAAGAAGCAAGGCTGGAGGCACAGTGGTCAAACAGGTCATCGGTACAGAATGGCCGGCAAGGAAGGTTCAGGATTGGGAGCTGAGAGAGGCTGAAATGGCAGGTTCCAAACATCACTGAGGATGATCAATGCCATCGCTAAGGACTTGTAGGTTTATTGCTGTGGAGACAGGAAGCCTTCGAAGGTTTCCGTAGACAAGAAAGATAGGACTGAAGCCACGTTCTAGGACAACGAAAATGGCAGCAGTGGGGAAAATCACTTGGGGGGCTGAGTTTAGTTATAAAGCTATTGAAATGTCACAGACCAGATACTGATGAGGGCCTCCACCAGATCAACAGAATGAATAGGGAGACTGCTAAGGGGAAGTGAGTTTAAGTTCTGTAAGATATATTTAAAACACCTTATTTTGTTTTAACATTAGAAACTGGGAAGATACAACCTCATGCGTTATATTACCTTTGTCTCTAAAAACATTTCAGAATGTTACTCTGCAACAGTTAAAGGACAATTCTGATAATCTACTTTTATTCTCTTCTCTCTCAGATCAATTCGTCTTTTTTAAGATTAAGTCTCAATACACACACCCTCTCATGTATTGAATAGTTTATTTAATTGGTTATGAATAGAGATATAAAACATTAATATAATTTCCTAGCCATATTCTTATTAAATAATTATTAAGCAGGTTTCTATAGAAAAGATACACTATAGAGCAGCGGTTCTCAACCTGTGGGTCGCGACCCCTTTTGGGGTCGAAGGACCCTTTCACAGGGGTCGCCTAAGACCATCGGAAAGCACATATATAATTACATATTGTTTTTGTGATTAATCACTATGCTTTAATTATGTTCAATTTGTAACAATGAAACTGGGGGTCACCACAACATGAGGAACTGTATTAAAGGATCATGGCATTAGGAAGGTTGAGAACCATTGCTATAGAGGTAAGTATGTATTTTTTAATTTATTAAAAATAAGCTAAAATTCCTCACTTTAACTTGGTCTCTGAGACAGAGACCAACCTAGCTCTCACTTTGACAAATGAGATGTTCTCCAAGGTCTTTTAACTCTAAAATGTCCTGGTTTACATAGTGGTATTTCTGAACTGCATTTTTAAAAAGTAATACCACCCAACTAATATGATTTCATCTTTCTAATAAAATATTTACTGAAAAATAGGGATTCTGGTGAGAACTGCAAGGATTCATGAAATAAAACTAAATGGGATTCATTACTGATTGGTTGACTTATGTTTTTCTTAATTTAACTTAAGAATCACATGTGTGAGTCTCTCTAATCTTAATCAAATTATACACATATGAACTGACTTCTACAAATTAAGTGATGAACATAGTTAGAAAATCACTTATATTGTTATATTTAGCACTATACCAGTAATACCAGAAAATGTAGCTAAAATTTTTTTTAAATATTTCTCTAGAGATGATGAGGATGAAAAATGTCAAACTATTCTTATTTTGACATAGTCTAAATTTTATTTCATGACTATCTAACAATTTAATCTCAGAATAATCAGTTATTATCCTGGAATAGTGTTACACTATACAGCCATAATCTAAAACACACAGACCCATTATTCAGCTCATTCTGTTCCCCTACAACCTCCTAATACTTGTGTACAGGCAGAATTCCTGGAAATACACTTCTGACCTTTTCAATAAATTTTCCATTTGTCCTTTTATGTGAAAATTTTACCCCAAATTTCTGCTTCCAGTTTTTAGGCAGAAAAACATTTTAGAAACACATGTACTATAAACTATATTCTGAAAAAAAATATAAAATAATTAAAAAGTCTTATGCTTAGTTCCAGATTTTATCCCATATTTGAAAAGCAGGTAAATACCTTTTAATTTTAGGCATAAGATTCTTAAATTGATACACTCAATAAATATATATCCTTGTTTGTTGATATAATTCCAAATAAAATAATAACTGATATCAATTCATATGTACAATAGAAAATTAAAATAAGCAAAAAAAAGTATTTTTCTTAAAGTGGAAAACTCTCAGGAAAATATAAATTATGGGTATAGACTCAAGTAACCTACATGGGATGCCTCAGTACTCAACATTATTTCCTCCAGCACTCCACACAGACAGCACATATGTTTTTAAGATGTCGTCTTATATTGAAATGTAAATTTTTCTTCCTTCTTCCCCTTTCACAACCAATTCTTTTTCATTCACACCCAACCTCTGTTAAAAATTTCCATATGCAGATATAAGGAATTAGGTGTTGGGTGAGAGAATAGAATTATTACATGAAGTTTTCTAATCGAAATCTTAAATAACATATAGTTGTGCAAAAGACTGAGAATCACTAGTGATCTATTTTTACTTTACAGTAAACTAGGAAATGTATATATTCTTTTTACAATATTTAAATTTGAACAAAAGCAAATTATCAGCACTCAAAATAACTGAAGATTTAAAGAAAGGTTGTCCTGGTAACCAAATATTGGTGGGGCACTAACTGACATCCAAGGCAACGAGAGGAGAGAGAGAGAGATAAGAGGAAGGCTTGGCATTCTCTGATCATCTCATTATTGTTCTAATGAGGAACTTTGCTCTGGGAATATCATCTCAGCTACTTTCACATCTTTTGTCCTACTCCCTTCATCTCCCTTTCAGTTCTTAATTAGGCCTTAAAGAGCTCACACTGCCCTTTCAACTGGCTACTGCTCCTGTTTAAACACTGTGCTTTCACAGACAGGTGTTGGCACTAGCATATAAGACATACAAACTTAATTACAAAATACTACATCCAGAAGGGGGAAAAATAACTTGGTGGATGGCTATTATCGGAGAACTTAATGTAAATTACTTCAAACATCTTCTAATCTTCAACATAAAAATTGTTCAAATACTTTTCCTCAAAAAACGATCGGTCTGAGGATGGGCTCCTCCTCCTATTTGTATCTTGCAGTAAATTAACAACACCTAAGTAATCCTTTAACTGTCCTTTAGAATCGTTAGTATTCCCGAGAAAAATAATCACACATCAAGGATTCTTTTATCACTTTTAAATCCTTTAACTAAAACAATTTTCACATTTTATTTCTTTAAAGATTTCTAAGGATGCTTTTACAGCAATAAATTACAAGATTTGGAAAAATACATTTACAAGCACATAGAAATTGTAATTAAGGTTACTTAATAAACAATAGCTACACATGAAATCGATTTTTTGATGTTTGCATTTTGTTTGAGATTAAGTAACTTGCCTGATAGAATTCATTTTACTATTTGATCAAAGGCTCACTTCAGATATTCTGACATTTCTCGCCAGACTGCATCTTATAAAGACTGGAGTATTTATGAAGCATAAAAATTTACAAATCATTTACATAAAACAGAAGAACACAGCACAAAGCTTCTATAATGTTTTCTATAATTTTAAAGAAATAACTACATTTAGAATGGTTTATACACTACCATGGTTTCTTCTGGGCATAGCTCATCATAGAAAATTGTGATATGTTATTGCTTTAAAAAATTCTTATTATACATCTGGATCACACACATTAAGGGCAGATGGTTCAAAGAGCAACCACCAGCATCTTGGAGTAAAGGCTCTACTTCTGTTATTCAATGAGAATTTAGTTTTCTACCAAGAACACGTGCCCACATTTTGATAAAGTAACTTCTGCCCTAGGTTTAATATATTTCGATTTGACTGAAGATGCACTGGAACTCTGAACAGAGATCCAAAACTGGATTTCAAATAACAATAGCATGAAGTTAAGATACCTGAATAATCTTTGCCAGATATGTGAGCTTAACTCGACTGCTGGCTACACCAAGCCCGCTAATATGTATGGTTTTGTTCTGTCTGGGAAGGTTAGTGTCCTAACGGTTCTTTCAAATGCACTCCTGGTTAACTGCACTTCCTGCCAGGATGCAAGATTGTTGACTGTTAGTAAGTGGTATTATTCTTTCTTCAGTATTTGTCCCAACAACAAATCGTTTTCTCCACATGCTCTTATTTCCTAACAATAATGTTGACCTTGCCATACAGCTTTCATATTAATTTTAAAACAGTCTGCAAACAAAATATGTATATGCTAAGCAGGCTTCAATTATAATTATGTTTACCTGAAGTTCTATTAATTGTATAAAAGTCACACCCTATCATATATTAAAAATAAAGACTGGGTTTTGCTTTTCTTCTTTCTCCCCAAATTATCATGCTAAGCTATAATCAGTAGGTAACAGGGATTCGAGGGATGGGAGCCTTTCTGGAAATGTGTGCCCGACAGAAGGCTGGCTTGTGGCTTGCTTTCTGCTTCTCTAACTTACCGGGATTTTCCTGAGGTCTTCACTGCTTGTCGGGTTCACATGAAAACTGAGCAATAAAAGACAAAACACAAATGTTAAAAATGTATCATAGTCCACATGGGAGGAAACATAAAAACAGGACATTTTAAACCAACATTTCAGTAACAATTTCTAAAGCCCTAAATCACTCGGATGAGTGAAATTTAATCCAGGATGTAGAAGAAAACCAATATTTACTCAACATCCGAAAGCAGCTACAATTTTAAGCTTTGAAGGAAAACCCTTCAGTTATTATCAGAACTGAAAAACTTCACCTCCAAATATGTAGCTTCTAAATATTTTTAAACATGAGCGCTTTACCCAGTGAGATATTTTATAAAACGAAATTTCGTAACGTTATTATTCATTTTACATACACACTCACCTTAGTCCTCCTGATAAAAAATGATGGAGAATTAAATAAATTTAGGATGGAAAGATTGTAGCATAGAATCGACAAAGCAAACTTTGCAAAAAAAAAAAATTCTACAGGTATTAAAGCAATTATCTTTTAAATTTTTAAACACCGGACTATCAATAGAATACATTCAGAGTGCTAGGAACCATTTCTATCATGAATGTGATGTCTAAGTAGCTGATCTTCAAAATTCAAATACCCAAATGGACCAAAAAAAAAAAAAAAAAAAGGATTTCTTCTGTACAGAGGGTAAGAAAACATCCCGGCTGAGTGCTATCATCACTTTCTTCTCTGAAACATGTCCATTAGGAAGGGCACTGCAACCAAAAAGTAGCTAAACTTCAAAGCCATCTGATGAGTCAATATTTCATCATTGCTATTCAAGTTTAATTTTTACCCGGCACTTAAGAGTATTAGCCTTGGTAACCACTACAAAGCATGACTGTCCTCGGAACCTTTTTATACCTCCCCCAAAAGACTTAACAGTAAAATATATTTTTCACGTTATCTGTGCTTTATCAGCCAAATCATTGGAATCCTTTGAAGAAATTCACTTTCAAAACTTTGGACTGTGTGCACGCAGTCTGGACACTAGATTATAACATCCGGAAAATAATCTATTATTACAGGTAAACACCCGGAGCTGTAAATCTACAGAGCATACAGGCCATGGACAGCCACCTCAAAGGAATTTCTCATAAAGCCAAGGTTTCACTTGTTATGACTAAGATTTGTAGTGCTCGCTTCAGAACTGGTGGCTGACCTCTAGCTAGGACTCCTATGGGTAAACTGAGCATTTCAGTAGAGCTGGGTGATTTGGCAGAAAAGACTGGAATATGTTTTAAATACCTACAAATGCACCATTTATAGGCAGAGGCAGCTGACTCATTGCCTGTATCTCATCATTTTTACTGTGTTCTATATGGTCCCAGACTAGACCACTGTACCGGAAAGTCTCACGAGTCTGACAAAAAGAGTGGCTTAAAAGAAAACAACAAAACAAAATCCAAAAATACATTATCATGGAGTAGTCCTCTGCCTAGGCTGCCATGGTAGCAGCTGCTAACACATGGGGTTCCCATCCTCTCGGATTTTCAACCCAATGTGGTCAACATCGGGGTCCAGTGGGACTAACCTCTCCCTGCGCCATTATCTCACAGCGAGCGGTCTTCCAACAGGTCAAGAAACACATTCTGCTGCCTCTCTCTCCACCTGACTGTGACCAGCTCCGGGACAAAACGCCCGACATTCAGGTTTCACAGTACAGCACAGTGGGTACAAGCAGAGAAGCGGTTGAGGGCCCTGGGACCAGGAGGTGTGACTTCAAAGCCTGCTTCTGCCCTGTAATTGCTGTGTGACCTTGAGCAAGTTACTTAACTCTGATTGTCTGGGTTCCTCCCTCTGTAAATGGGGATCTACCATACAAGTCGACTGTGAAGACTGACTTAGTTAACATGACAAACACTTAGCACAGTGACTGGCAGACAGGACATGTTCAACATACTATTTTATTTAATAAATATTTACATAGCACTCGAACTGTGTCAGCTACTGTTCTAAGCACTTTCCCAAAATTAACTCATTTAATCTTCACAACCTTAAGGTAGGTTGTACATTCAGAGAAATTGAAGGACAGTTTCAAGTTCTCACCAGTTTACTTGTTTCTTTACTCAATATTTGTTCAACAAAATAAATCAAGAGTGGATGTTACAGGAGAGATAATAATGATTCCTTAAAACATATTTGTGTATTAATTTCAAAATTTAAAATTAGTTTACTTAGAAAAATTATTTAAATGTAGAAATACCACAGAGTAAAAAATAAGCTTTTACATTCAGACTACATTCAGAAAATAGGAATCCTGGTGTTATACTTATTGTGATATAATCATCTTCATTTTCAAAATGAGGACACAAGAGCCACAGGAGGTGTGGTGACTTGTGTGTGGTCATAGTTGGCAATGGAGTGTCTGGCTCTGGGACCTGTCCTCCTACCTGTGGCACAGCCACAGCTCTGGCCCCTGAGCACGGGTTACACTGCGAAGCCCTGAACGTACCAGCCACGTGGGTTGACCAGAAAGTGCACCTCACAGCTTTCTGGGCAAGCGCATGGTCCATCCAGCTGCACTTGGGGGAGGTTGGGGACAGCACCCTGTGAGTGACACTGTCAGACCCTGTAGTGGAAAGAAGTGCCCTTTTGCAGCAACTGGTCCAGGAAGGCCTGAGTCCATGGAGAAGTAGGATTTTCAATGACATGAAGAATCGGTTTGGCAGCCAGAGAGGGAGGACTCTCAAAACAGAGGGCGCTGCCTGGGGCCGCTAGAAAGCGGTGTTCACAGTGGACATCAAAGAGACTGGAACACAAGGCAGCAGGGGGAGGAGCCCTTGAGGGGTTTGATGCAAAGATGAGGCTCTTAGACCTGATCCATCGGGCGACAATGTTTCGTACTTTCAGTCTTCTTTCATAATGTTATTTAAACATTTCATGGGCAGTAGCATTATCCATCCCATTACATCCTTGAAGAATAAACAATATTAAGACTGTATAAATTGCAGTATGTCTCAGGAAGAAATCAGTGAACTAAGAAACAGAAATACTGGTATTAGATTTATTGGGATAAGGGTTCTTAAGAAACAGACATGTAGGACAAAGATTTTATCAAGATCATAAAACTAGCAATACGTAATGTCCGATGGCTGTGGCCTCTGGAACTAAAGTGAAACTCAGTGACAGCCTGAAGCACGCCTGAGAATTATTAGAAAGATCAGACTGAACAGGTCGCAGCGGGGAGGGAAAAGCGTGCCGGGTGCAGCGAGCCCCACTATTTCCCATCCTACCTGCCTGTAATCGGAGCCCTCTGCCACTCAGCAATCCCCAGTGCAGGTCTGGGCTCAGGGCAATTGTATGGGGCATTGTCTCAAGTCTAAAGGCGGAACCCCTCCCTTGTGGTCGGCTTTATAGTCACACACTGACGTGTCACACAGATGACGGACTCAGGCATTCACGCTGCTTTTTTTGATCCTTCCTTAAGGGGGGAAAAAGAGTTAACTGAACTGGATTGAATTAGCTTGGTGAAAAATAAAATGTCTCTATTTACCGAAGTGTGGCACCAATCTGTGATATCTTTCCCTTTGGACTGCTGTCCTCATGTCACACAAGATATTGAATAATACAGTCTGACTGCTCAACTGAGCTGTTGACAGGTTAAGGAACATGGTGTTCTTAATCAGGTAGAAAATGAACTTAGACATGCTCACACTGAAAGAACTTCAGGCAAAGTTAAACTTTACAATTAAAAGAAATTGTTTTAGAAATCAGAACTGAAGGAGTTTGGGGGTAGCAGGGGATTTTAAAGTAACTATTAAGCTGATACAGATATTTTAAATTCATATTTTAAAAAGATTTTTAAACTAAGAAAATGCTTTACCTTAACATTCTAAAGTTCTTAAGTAAAAACTTATTTTTCACTCTGGTATTTCCAAATTCAAATAATTTTTTCTAAGTAAACTCTAATTTTAAATTTTGAAATTAATAGTACTTGCGTATATTTTAAGGAATCATTAGTATCTCTCCTATAACATCTATTGATTTATTCTGCAGAATAAATACTGAGTAAAGACATAAGTAAGCTGGTGAGAATTTGAAACTGTCCTTCGATTTTCACTGTGGACTGGTCTCCTCCAGCAGATAGGTCAGGACAGCAAACCAAGCTCCTAAAGCGGTGAAACTGGCCGCTGCAGAAATCACGGCCGCATTTGGCAACGATCAGAGTCTTTTTCTTTGTCGTTCCTTTTCTCTTCTAAAAACATAAATACAATCATTTGGAGCGAGAATTCCTAAGACAGGGAAGGGACTGAGAGTAAAAGGAGTATGAAGTGCTTGTCAAGATAAAAATAAAAACCCACAGAAGAACAAAGATCTAGTAAAACTGATTCACAGTCTTGTTAGTATAAGACAATGCAAACTGTGCAGGTTCCTGGCTCTCGGGGTTGAAGTCCTTCAATGAGAAGTTGCAGTAACACGGGGAGCTCTTTGGAAGGCATTTAAGAACAAGTATTATTACATCTTCCATAATGCCTCTCTTTCTAGGCCCCATAAAGGTAAGTGCATTTTGGTCTACAAACTTGATCCATTTTGTATTTAATAAGTGGATTCAAGTTATTTGAAAACTCCAGGAGGTGTCCCACCTGGCTGGGGGACCATGAGGGGAAGGAGCGAGGAGTAACGCTGAGCACCAGTCATTCCTTACTGTGTATGGGGTAAGTACAACCTTAACCTATCACAGAAGAACTGACATTCATTATGTTCAAAGGGGAGTATCCCATTGATCTTCCTGTTTCACTCAGTGGGCTCTGGGGACCCGAGGCTTCACTTTGGTGACACATGTAGCTGGGGGAGGGATATAAACAGAACTGTAACAGAACATAACAGCACCTTTAATGAGTCTGAAGAGAGGGAAAGGAAAATGCCCCATTGACAGTGAAGCAAGGGAGAATAAAAAAGACATAGGCCCAACAACAACGGATATTTATTGGACTCTTAACTGTGGGACCTACCAGGTGTCTTTCTGAGCACTTTACATGTTAATGTTAACTCAATCCCATGAGGTG